TCAGCCTCCCAAAGTGTTGGGATTACAGGCGTGGGCCACCGGGCCTGGCAGGAAAGTGTCTTAATAAAGCTGGATACAAGGCCAAGCATAGTAGCTCCCAGCACTTTGAGAGGTCTAGGTGGGTAGACTGCTTGAGCCCAGGAATTCAAGACCAGCCTGGGCAACATAGCAAGACCTAGTTTCTACAAAAAATAAAAAAGATTTTAGCCAGGCATGGTAGTATATGAGTGTAGTCCTAGCTACTTGGGAGGTTGAGGCAAGAGGATCGCTTGAGCCCAGGAGTTGGACGCTGCAGTGAGCCATGATAGTGCCACTGCATCCAGCCTGGGAAACAGAGTGAGACCCTGTCTCAAAAATAAATAAATAAAATAACAAATGAAATGAAATAAAATAAAATAAATAAAATTTTAAAGCTGTATACCGTTTGGCTTGGGGGAAAAAAAGGAGTTGCAGTGACCTACAAAATAATATAGTGTGAGAAGATGACAGTGCACTGATTACTCAATTCAACAAACATTACTTGAGCACTTGCCATGTGCCAGGCATGGTAACAGGGGCTGGTGAAACAGAGGTGAAAAATAATACTCTTTTTATGTCCACAGTCAACTGTTGTCTAGTAGGCAAAGCTAATATAGGAAGATAATTAATCAGAGCACAATTAGTACAGGCAAAAGAGGTATTCCAAGTGCAATGGTAACACAGAAAAAGTAATCTCCTTGGAGAAGGAGACACAACAGTTCATGGAATGCAGGAAGTTGGAGCTGGAATTAGGTTTTCACAGTAAGAGAAAAGGAGAAAGGCATTCTAAGCTGACAGAACAAGCTCTGCGAGGGTATGCATTAGCATGACACATTTGGGCAACTACAAGCAGGTGCTACCCCGGATCATAGGGTATTAGAAGGTAGCCAACAGGAGTGAGGTTAGGGAGGCAGACCCAGCCACATAAGGGAAGAACTTTCTATGCCATGCCAAGGGCTTTACATTTAATTTCATAGACAATGAAGATATAGATACTGCAAAAGGCGTTAGCCAGGGAGTGTCCTTCAAGTTAGCTCTGGGGATCACATGGCAATTAAGTGAAAGGGAAAAGAATGTGGAGACCTAAAAAATCACTAGGGCTGTGAACTTTGATATCACACTTGACCTCGAGAATATTATGTGAGCCAGGACACTCTGATATGAGGAAAACCAACATGTAATATTTTTATCTTACAAAGCTGATAATGCAGAGAATTAACAAGTTATGCATATATAAACAGTAGACTCACAGTTAGGAAGCCGGCAAGTGTCCGTCACTTGAGTCCTGTAGTGTCATCTACCTGATTCACCTTTGGGCTTATCAATAGCATATACAGAGTCGTCATGATCACTGCCTGGGTCTGCTGGTAGCAGGCTGGCTCACTGTGGAATAAATTAACCCTGCAGACTCTAGATTTGCGATTAAGTCCCCCAGCTAGGTTTTTCATTTAAAAAGTGTTCTTCTATTCGTTGCCTGATATAACTATTTTCCCAAATCTAATCATTTCTTACTTTTCAAATCTATTCAAATCATCATTTGTCTCTTCATCTTTTCTGTAAATTTTGCCCTTTAAAGCCAATGGTTATTTTAATAATAATAGCAAATGTTAATACTTCCATAGCACTTCCTAGTATTCCTAGAATAGCACTATTCTAGTATTCTGATACTAGAATAGTATCAGGCACTATTCTAAATGCTAAATGTATACTAAATGATTAAATCCTCATATCAACCCTATGAGATGAGTACTGTCATTATCTTCATTTTTCAGAGGAGGAAACAGCAAGTTTCCCATGACACTAAATAGGAGCAGAGCCACTAATCCAATCCAATCCATTTGGTCCTGGAGCTGATATTTTAATTCACAAGTCTTAGTTTGTAAAGGTACTCAGTAGGAACAAGGGACCAGTGCATCAAATGTTGCCTCAAAGAAAACTTTTCTTGGATATTCCTTTCTCATAAACTTCAAAGTCCTGTAAGTTTTGCTCCTGCACCAAGTTGTAATGCTTTTGTAAACATAGTTTGCATTGTTCCAACAACCTTAACAAACATGTTTGGAAGTACAGTTCAGCCAGACTGAAAGATTACCACTCTCAACTGGTTTTTTTTTTTTTTTTTTTTTGGTTTTTGACAGTTTAACCTATACTTTCCATCTCACAAATAAGATCCTTCTGTAAGAGTTCTTCCAGGACATGAAACTTACTAAGGATTTGCAGCTCATTAAAATTTCCTCCTTTTAATACTCAAGATTGAAATAAAACATTTTCTGCAAGGTCAGCAATAGCAGATCTAATGTAAGTCCTTTATTGATTTTTAAAAAGTTGACTACATTAATCTTTTTACTTTTTATCTTGTCTTTAGGTCATAAGTCACCAGTCCTTTTGTGAGAGGAAACTACTTCTCTTATTCTCTGAAGCTTTTCAAGAGAATATAAAAGTAACAAAGTAATTTTTTTAAAAATCAGCCTACCATGTAAGGGTTTAGGATCTACTTAGAGGTTGAAAGACCCTTGACCCTGCACAGTCTTAGATGTTTCCTATGCCATTTTTGGAGTCTGAGCTTTATTTCCAGAAATGATTAATCATTCAGAAAAAAAAAAATAGTTGCCACTTAAATCTTTAAAGTTTTGAAACTTTTTTTTTTTTGAGACAGAGTTTCGTTCTTGTCGCCCAGGCTAGAGTGCAATGGCAAGATCTGCGCTCACTGCAACCTCCGCCTTCTAGGTTCAAGCGATTCTCCTGCCTCAGCCTCCCGAATAGCTGGGATTACAGGCACCTGCCACCACGCCTGGCTAATGTTTGCATTTTTAGTGGAGACGGGAGACAGGGTTTCACCACGTTGGCCAAGCTGCTCTCAAACTCCTGACCTCAGGTGATCCGCCTGCCTGGGCCTCCCAAAGTGCTGGGATTACAGGTGTGAGCCACCGCGCCCGGCCGAAACACTCTATGTGAGCCATTCTTAGAACTTTATGGACTTCTGATTCTCCATACACTCTATAGTAAACTACTCCCCACTTTTTTCCACAATTTTTTCAAAAAATCAATGTGAATGACTCAAAGGGCAAAACTTTCAGATGAATTTTGTGAAAATTATAGCTAATGCTTCAAAGGGAGAGGATCAGGAAGGTGGGTGTAGAAGAATCTGTTTTTCTTCAAATGTTAATGGAGTGGTTTATTAGCACAGACCTTTTAAACCAAGCCAGGAAAAGGCAGCGGGATGTTTTCAAGTCCCCTTGGGCTGGCGAAGTGGGTACTTGCTGTACCTTATCAAGCACTAAACACTGAATACGTGTTGAAAACAGAGCTGATACGCATCCTTAGCAACCACTCACCTCTGCTATTTTAACAAAATGTCAAGCAAGCAAGAGAAAGAAAGAAAGAAAAAGAAAGGAAGAAAGAAAGAAAGAAAGAAAGAAAAGAAAGAATTAGCATACAAGGCAGGACATGCCACCTTTATATTCTGAGCTCTGTCCACAGTGAGCAGGCCATGCCAAACATTGGGAGAGACAGAATGGTTGATCATGCAAAGCAAACTGTAGGTTTGAATCCCAGCACGGCCATCTACGAGTTATGAAATCTTGCTAAACTACCTAATGTCTCGGTACATATACCTAGAAAACGAGAATGATCCCAACCTTTAAGATGAGAAGGGAACTGAGTGGGAAAAGTGGATGAGAACAGCTGACCCAGCAGCCTCCCAGTAACCTAGTTTTCCCTTCCCATCTCTGTGTCTACGGTGTTTGGTGGCCTCACCATCTCCCGCCGCCTCCAGCAGTTCCTTCACTCAGTGAAGGTCCTAGACCGAATGGCCACCTTCCTGTATGTGGGTACTGATCACCCACCACCTTTCTGCTTTTCAGTGCTATGCCCTTTTTATCTTGTCTAGCAGCCAAAGCTGAGACTGGTGGGAGTCATTTCCAGCTCCGATGGTGGAGGAGTAGGGTTGACGGGAAATGCCAAGGCGTGCTCCACGCCTGCTGTCCCCAGCCGCGTTGGGCTGTGGCACTCTCCTGACCAATGTCTGGGTCACCAGGAAGCAAGACGGAGCGCCACTAAAGGTCTCTTGTGCCCTGTATTTCGCCACCGCATTGCCAGGATAGGAGTGGAGGCGGACGGTGTCCGACACCAAGACTCAGGGAGCGATCCCTGAGCTCTCTCGGCAATTCCCGGGCTCCGGGAACGGGCCTGGGCGGGGAAGGAGTCGGGACGCGCAGCGGCACCCGGCGAGACTGCAGGGCGCCCGAGCGGTCGGACGGGGGAGCGAGAGCTAAAGCTTGCGGAGCGCGCCGAGCCGCGGGCGCTGGCGGCCACGGCCAGGGAGCTGACGCCGAGCGGAGCCCGCCCGGCCGCGGGAGCTGCGGGAGGCGGAGGCCGAGTGGGGGGCGGAGCAGGCGGCGCCGGGGAGGCAGAGGCGGTGTCTCCCAGAGCTGCGCAGGCGTTGCTCGCACCTTGTTGATTAGTCAGTGCTGGGAGCGCTGCTATGGCGTTTCTCAGACCCGCGGCTCCTCCTCACACGCTCGAGGCGGAGGGAAGGAGGGGTAAGAGGAGGAGGAGGCGAGCGGGCGGCCGCCGCAGCTGCAGACCCAGGGCCAGAGGAGGAGGCGGAGCGGGAGCCGCCGCAGCCACCCGGGCCGCTGCCGCCGCCGCCGCCGCCCGCAGCCGCGGGGCTGCTCTAAGTCTTCTCCGGGCGTGAGGGCACGCGGGGCGCCCCAGCCATGCCCCGCAGCGGCAGCTGAGCCGGGCGCCGGTCCCCTCCCTCTGGGCCGCCCCAGTCGCCGCGCCCCCCGGCTGCCCGCGGCCGGAGCTGCCCGGCGCCTCCCGCGCGCCCCAGACCGCGAACGCCAGCAGCGGCGGCCGCTGAGGCGCGGGTGGTGCCGGCGGCGGCGGGGGAGATGGACCCGGCGCCCTCGCTGGGCTGCAGCCTCAAGGATGTGAAGTGGAGCTCGGTGGCCGTGCCGCTCGACCTCCTGGTCAGCACTTACCGGCTGCCCCAGATCGCGCGGTTGGACAACGGTGAGTCCCAGCTGGGGCGCGGGGCAGACGGGCGAGGACAGCCGTCTCCACGCGGGTGTGCGCGCGTGTGCTGGAGAGGGTGGGACCCGAGGGGAGTGGGCTGCCCGCCCCCGAGCGCCGGAGTTGGCCGGAGCGGCTGCCGCAGCCCTGGCGCGTTGCTCTCAACTCCCTCCAGCAGCAGACAGGGAGGTGGAAATCAGAGTCCTTGCAGTGTAATTAAAAAGGACGCCCTAAAAAAAAAAGTCAACATAGGGAGACCTCTGCAGATCGTAATTTTGGACGCCAGCGATCCCTCCCCACCCGCCTGCAAGAATTACTCAACTAGGGAAACCCTGAAGAGTTATCTTAGGCAACTTTCTTGAGACTATCATTGTGCTCTGGGTGGCATCTTAATTTGGGTGCTCTCCTCCCTGTCTCCCCCATCCCCCGCCAAACAGATTTAAGAGGAAAAGCTCCTGGGTGACCATTGAAAAGGATCATATTTCTCAGAGACCTTGTATTACCGCTTGTCTGTTTTGTTTAACCCAACCGAAAGTAATTTAGGTCTGTGTGTAGAAAATGTTTTTAGCAGAAGTGATGGTATGCTTAAGGTTAATCATTAGGTTAGCTCATTTCCAGCCTGGAAAAAAAAAATAAATCACCAAAACATATTGATTTGGAACCTGAGTTCAGAACTAACAAGGGTGTATTTCCTGAAACTGACCACCAGAAACCCACCCAGCTCCTTCCCCCAACTGTTTATTCTGCGGTGTGACAGCTGCAAACACATCGTTGCGCATACTGTCAAGCAAGTAGACACCTTTCAGTTTGAGAGTGATGACATGTAAGGTGGCAATTTAGGTGTGTTTGGGCTTCTCTTGTTTTCATCATAACTTCAGTGGGCTTTGGCTTCATGCGATTTTAGACTGTTTGCAGAAAGAAGCCTGCCCTGCTGTGGGGCAGCTGTGGAAGTACCCGGGCCCAGGCTGGCAGACAGGCAGGCAGAGCTGTGGCTGCACAGGCCAGGTCAGGAGAACACTAAGCAGAAAGATGTCATTTCGAGTCACAGGCACTAGGGTTACTCCTTGTTTCCTAGGGTAAAAGAGTGAGTAACATGAGATGTATACATATACAAAGGAGTTTTTATTCTGTTTCTTATCTGTGGGGTTTGATTAGACATTTGTATATCTGATGTGAAAAATAAATGCAGGCAACTTCGTGAAAGCTGGAAAACAGCCTTGGCTTGCTTGCTATCCTCGTTTGATTGTTGGTAGTAGTAGGGTGCATCGGAAATAAGCTGGAAGTTTTAAAACTAGTGATGAAGTGCAGATCACAGTAGCTGTTGAAGCGGAGGGGGGGATTGGGCGGGACACACGGGTGGTGTGCTGAGGCGTTTCTGCTTAGAGTGGGGGTGGGAAAATGTTGTGTGCTTTAAATAGCATCTGCAGACCTGAATTGGTGTGTGTGTGTGTATTCGCAACGTTTCATTTCCTCCTCCAAAATTGTGTATATTGGAAGGTTGTGAGTCTTACCTTTTCCTACCTTCTCTCATCTCTGCACACTGCCAAATTTGGTAGCTAGGCAGAGAGCATTGCTGCATGTGGTATAAAAGTCACTCAAAAGCTTCATTAAACTGAAAGTTTAAAGGGGCGGAATATCACTTTCAGACATGACTTTTAGTTTTATTTCCCACTTTTCTATCCCTGCCATTCATAAAAAGGATCTGAATCAGCAGTGTACTCATCCCACACTTCTTTCTAAAATGAGGACGTGGGTAGTGAGTCTTAACACTGTGTCCTTTCAAGCTGTGGAATGGATTTTGATCACTACATGTAATTCCAATTCTTCATTGTAAATTTCTCTTATTTCCTTATTGCCGCTTGAGAATCATAGTGGCACATACACATTTGGAATCATTGCCAGATACTGCTTTATAACTTGCTTCTTTCACTTAACAGTCCCATCTCATTTAAACATTTTTGTTAACATGATTTTTAATAACTGCCAAAGAGTTCATGGGCTAAGCTATACCATGTAATTTCTGCCCCTATTGTGGACATTATTAAGCTATATCATTTTGTGCTATTAAAAATTGTGGTATAATGAATACTCTTGTACATACATCTGGGAGTTTTTTGGTTAGAATATATTTCTACTTTGCTGAACAAGCATGTCAGTACTATTAAAATCCTTGATACACATTGTCAAATTGCTTTAGCGACTAAAGGAAATCCTCATTTACACCAACGTGAGCATTGTGGTAGTATCAGTCTGCCCACATCTTGAAAATACTAAGTATTTACAAAAAAATTCTCTACTAATTTGATTGGGGAAAGTGTTGTTTCAGCAGTTGAATTTGGGTAGACTTTAAAAGAGTCAATTGTAGATTCTGTGCATGTTTTTAAACATGTTTCACACAGTTTAGGACAGGTTGAGGACATGCTGGCATATTTATAAATGTTATAGGTGAAATCTTAAGTTTTGTGCTATCCTCATCCTGTGTTTGCCTTTTCCCCAGTTTTAGTACTGCAGGTACATTTTACATCGCACACGCCCACCCTATACTTAGACATGAAAGGTAGTCATTTTCCAAATCACTTGTTTTTAAAGAGACTAGAACAAAATTGAAAAACATGCCAGTAGTTGACATTATGCCAAGAGGAAATGATTGGCTAATTTTAAATACTTTTTAAAGAACATTAAAAAAATCTAATTTCACAACTATTGACTATCAAAAGCCTACTATGGGCTGGTACATTTCTGGATGCATAATATGTATTGTCTCAAATCCTCAGCAACACAATTTTTAAGAACTTCAGAAACCTAAGATTCAGAGAAATTGACTTGCCTGAACACTCGTACCTAGTAAATGGTGGAGTGGAATTTCCAGCCGACCTTCTGACTCTGAAGACTGACCTCTTATCTCAAACTGGGCTACCTCCTTATGCTAAAGGAGAGAAGGGTTGAGGTTGTTCTGACATCTGCTCTAAATAGGTTCACTGTGTCTCTGAGAGCTTGAGGACTGGAAAGTCAGTATTTTAAAAACAATGTAGATACCAAATTAAGTGCTGGCCTCATCCATCATATATACGACTTTCTGCTTCCCAAAGGAGTGGCTGAAAAGAGGCAAGAGGCAGTGGGGAAGAAGAGGTTACAGAACAGGAGAAAAAAAGGAAAACATTGGGGTTCGAGGGCCTAGTAATGTAGATGTGTCTGTTGAGATGACTCTTCAGGACATTCGCCATCCCTAGAATATTCACTACACGATATGTAAAGAACTCTCCAATTCTTTGTATTGTATGTGCCACTCCTGAAGTGCCAGGTAGATAGATGTGTTCAATATTACATCCTTGATGGTGAAATTTGCCTTTGTATGATAAGATAAATACAAAATAAGTGAGCCTTTATAAATATTGCCCCATAAGTTTTTCTGGAGAACCGAAGGAAAGGTACTCTAGCAGTTCTCCTTGGGAGATTTGATGAGATATATCTCATGAGCTGAGGTCTAAGCCCAGTCAGCAGTACAGTTAAGATCAGATATTTAAACTGATTGATATCAGTCTTATAAACTGTTGGCTGTAGAACTGGGTTCAGCAAATGTACTTAGGACCAAGGAGAGGATGGAGAAAATACTAATCCTCACTCCACCCCCAGCCATCCTCACTGAAAACTGGATAGGTGGGAAATTGTTCATTTTCTCTCTCCTCCTCATTTCATCTTGGATAGACCCTGAAAGCTTGTATTAGAGTACCATTCTTACAACCTTTTTGCTTCTATGCCTTGTAAAAGATTTGGTGAAACTCTATCCCTAAGCACATTCTTCAGTTAAATGCTAAAACTTTTGATCCTAAGTTTAAATACTTCCAGGGGATGTAATTTCTCAGCGTATTGTAACTGTTAATATTTTAAAGTATTACATCATTCTAAAAACTCTAGTAAAATATATATTTGATTTCCAATATCATTTGTTTAAAAAATTCATGAGATTCAAGAATCAATCTTTTGAAAGTTAAACATTTTACATCTTTTCTTTATCTCTTTAAATTCTTACTCCATTTCCCTTCCACTGTATAGAATTCTCTCTCAGTGTAATATATTTTTATGCTTGAAAGTGTTCTATTGATCACTCTGCCATACTCTCTGTAACTTAAAAAAAAAAGTATATAGATTGAAATCCAGTATTTCATATTTATTTTGATCATAAGACTTTCCACATTTAATGATTTCTGGTTGTTTTTTAAAACAAAGAATTGGAAGTAACCTGACTTAACAGAAATAGTTGTTACCTAAATACTAGAGGCTTTCACCCTGCAACATGAGTCAATATTTTTGTTCCTTTGTTTGGTTCTCTACCCAAGGTCTTTGCACCCTTGGGCAGTGCATCTTAGAAAGATGTAGAGAAAGTAATACAGGTGCATTACTTTTGTAAAGTGGTTGAAGAACCATTGTGAAGGGGAGATGGTGAATGACAGCTTCCTTCCATCACAGTGAAGGTCATCACTGGATGGATGTCCAATACAATCGTGGACCCAAGCCCATTAATTTTTAAACAAGAGTACTTTTGGAAATTTCGAATATAGAAACTGATTCCTTTACAGTTGGGATGATGAGACCCTTGGGAAGCATTAGCTTTGCCTCAGACATGTACCCCAGTTTAAAGAATGCTGGTCTAGCACAGTAAAAGGTGTATTAATGGCCCTGTTTGCTGAAAGGAAAAGGAAGACCAAGGCTGTATGGAAAGGCAGGGAGAGAGAAGAAGAGAAGGTAGTAGGGGTAGGAGACCACTAAGTAGGTAGAACAGGAGCAGTGACCGTGTCTTTGTCCTGTGTGTAGGAATCACATCGGATTCTAAGTCCCGGATTTGTTGGGACTGTGGGAACTTTGGTCCTTGCTTTACGCTCGGAGACTTCTGCAGCTTTATCATTTACCGGCCTCTAGGAGCAAAAGCATGGACACTTAGGCCCCAGGGAGGCTCCAAGTGTCTGTAAATGTCAAAGGTCTTTCTCGGATCCATGTTTTATCACTGAAATTGATGTAAGTTCTCAAAATCTACTTTGTAATTGATGTCTTTTTCTTTTCTTTTCTTTTTCCCAAAGTAACTTACTTTTGCTCTTGGAAGGTGTTCTGTGTTTATCTTGTGGCTTCATTTCTCCTGGCCTTCTGTATTTTAAGAGAGTACACATGGCCAGGGTGGGGGGAATGGTAGTTTAAAGAATGCTGGATTTGGAGCCAAGAGACCTTCGTTCTGTTAGAGGTACTGCCATTTCATAGTCATGTGATCTTGGTCAGGTCTTGCAACCCCTTTGATTTGTAGTTTTCCCATGTAGAAAAATTGGACATTATACTTGCCCATATTCTTCATTCAGTAAATTGTTTATTAAGTCAGCTAACACTTATTAAGCCCCTACTATGCGACAAGCCCTGTTACAGGTGTTGGGACTACAGCACTGAACAAATCAGACAGAAATGTCTGTTTTTGTGGAGCTTACATTCTTGTGTATCTACTTATTATCGGAATTAAATGCAGTATTATATGTCAGATACATGTGTGAGATAGCTGTGGTAGAGCTACAGATCAGTTGAGGGAGGCTTCAGAGTATAGCATATCATTCAGGCAGCAGCAGCTTTTATTGTCTTTGTACAGAAGAAGAAGCTGAGAGAAATGCTCTGGGTGACTTGAGTGTTTCCATTTGAGTATTCCAGGTTACTGATGTAGTAATCCACAGGTTATAAAAAGGTGGCAAAAGGTCTTTATCAGACAGAAAGTGTTATAAGCTGACTAATCTAACCAAGATTGGCCTTCGGAGGGACTGGAGGAGTTAGGAAAGGAACTTTTCTTTTTTTAAAAAAAGGGATGGGTTCACGTTATGTTGCTCAGGTTGCCCTCAAACTCCTGGGCTCAGCTGATCCTCTGGTGTCAGCCTCTCAGGTACCTGGGACTGTATAGGCCTGAGCCACCACATTAGGCCAGGAACTTTTAATTTAATCCAGAATCACAGGTGAGTTTTACCAAATGGTACCAAAACAATGAGCTTAGACACTTGTATCTTTTTTTTTTCTTTCTGTGTCGCACAGCCTGGAGTGCAGCGGCTCAGTCTTGGCTCACTATAACTTCCTTCTGGGCTTAAGCAATTCTCCTGCTTCAGCCTCCTGAGTAGCTGGGATTACAGGCATGCACCACCATGCCCAACTAATTTTTGTATTTTTAGTAGAGATGGGGTTTCACCATTTTGGCCAGGCTGGTCTTGAACTCCTGACCTCAAATGATCTGTCCGCCTTGGCTTCCCAAAGTACTGGGGTTACAGTCGTGAGCCACCGCACCCAGCCTTGGTTTTTATTTTTTTTTTTTTTTTTTTACCATGTACTCATCATTATATTCACTGATGGATGATCATTTGTTTGTAACTATAGTTGTATAATGGTTTACAGGAAAGAGGTGCCTACTATAATATTATACATAAAGTGAGTGATTTTAAAAAGTGTCTTTAATATTCATTGATACATGGTGTACTTTCACTTTCTTTCAGTTTTCACCTATTCTGACTATTGGCTGTGCCTAAAAATGATGAGAAAAGAACAAGAGAGGACATTGTAGCAGGCAGTGGACAGTGACAAACATAGACCCACAGGACAAGATTTGCAGATAGCTCTCTTCCAGTGTCTTTTTTTTCAAGTAAGATGGCTGTTTTGAAAGTCTTTTTTTTTTTTTCCAGAGAACAGTACTGTAATATCTATTTAGAAAGGAAAGCAAGTATCTTGAATGTAAGGTGAATATTTACATATTCTAGTTAAAAAGTATAACTTTTTAATTGACACAATCATTAATACATATTTATGGAGTACAATGTGGTGTTTCAATATATGTACACATTATGTAATGATCAAATAAGGCTAATTAGCCTATCCATCACCTCAAATATTTATCTTTTTTTTGTGGTAGGAACATATAAAATCCTCTCTTCCACTTAAATTGAGATACACAATACCCTATTGTTGACTGTAGTCACCCCACTTATTCTTCCTTTCATTTAATTGTAACATTGTACCCAATGGCCACCCTCCCCCAATTGCCCTGCTTTTCTCTGCCCTCCCCAGTCTCTGGTAGCCACTGTTATATTCACTACATGCTGATTTCATGTCCTTTTTATATATACTCCGTAGTGGGATTGCTGGACCGCTATCTATCATCTATTACTGAACCCCTGTTTAATGCCATATATAAAAATCAACTCCAAATGGATTAAAGATTTAAATGTTAGACCAGAAACTATGAAACTACTCATGGAAGAAAACATAGTAGAAACACTTTATGACGTTGGACTAGGCAAGGATTTTTTGGATAAGACCTAAATATATAGGTAACAGAAGCAAACATAGGCAAATGGGATTACATCAAACTAAAAGGCTTCTGCATGACAAAGGAAACAACAGAGCAAAAAGTCAACTTGCAGAATAGGAGAAAATATTTGCACACTGTGTATCTGAGTGTTCATATCCAGAGTACAGGGAACTCAACTCCATAGCAAAAAGACAAATAATCCTATTTAAAATGGGCAAAAGGCCTTAATAGGCATTTCTCAAAAGAAGACAAACAAATGGCTTATAGGTGTATGAAAAAAATGGTCAACATCCGTCATTAATCAGGGATGGCAAATCGAAATCGCAGTGAGAGCTCATGTTACTCTAGATAGAATGGCAAAAAGACAAGATATCCAAAAGACAAAAGGTAATGTTGGCAAAGATGTGGAGAAAAGGGAACCTTGACATACTGTTGGTGGGAATGTAAGAGTGTAAATTTCAATTAATAAAGTCATAATGGAAAACAGTATGGAGGTTCCTCCAAAAATTCAAAATAGAATTATCTTGTGACTCAGCAATCCTACTACTTAGGTATATATCCAAAGGGAATAAGTCTTAACTGAAATGAGCGTCCACATTGTCGGTAAAAACCTTAAGACACTCAGTTCATTTCTAAAAGGAAAACTGGTTTGACTGTTGTGATCAACTGCATTATAGTTTAAAGAGGGAGTATTTTAGTCTCTTTCACTCATTGGCTGCCTTACTGAAATAGCAAGTTCTTGTGGACCAGCTTGTAAACTCGTTTATTTTTGTTTGAGATTCCTGAGGTATCTGTCTTTTCACTTACTGAGCTGCTGGTTCTAGGAAGACTCCTAAACTCCCCACTCATCTTCAGCAGGACTGTCAATCTTAAGAACACCAGCTATGATATGCCATGGGAAAAGTAACTTTTATTTCTGGTTTATGTAGTTTTTGTAAAATATAAATACCTGCTAAAATATTATTTATTTATTTATTTTGTGAGACAGAATCTTGCTCTGTCCCTCAGATTGGAGTGCGGTGGTGCGATCATGGCTCACTGCAGCCTTGAACTCCCAGGCTCAAGTGATCCTCCCACCTCAGCTTCCTGAGTAACTGGAACTACAGGCACTTGCTACCACACCCAGCTAATTTTTGTATTTTTTATGGAAATGGGGTTTTGCCATGTTGCCCAGCCTGGTCTTGAACTCCTGAGATAGAGCTATCTGCCTGCTTTGATCTCCCAAAGTGCTGGGATTACAGGTATGAGCCAACACCCCTGGCAGGATGAATTCTTTTAGACCTTTCCGCAAGAAAAGCCTCCCCTAGCCCAGGTGCCGTGGCTCACGCCTGTAATCCCAGCACTTTGGGAGGCCCAGGCAGCGGATCACAAGGTCAGGAGATCGAGACCATCCTGGCTAACACGGTGAAACCCTGTCTCTACTAAAAAATACAGAAAAAATTAGCCGGGTGTAGTGGTGGGCGCCTGTAGTCCCAGCTACTCGGGAGGCTGAGGCGGGAGAATGGCATGAACCCCAGAGGCGGACCTTGTAGTGAGCCAAGATCGCGGCACTGCACTCCAGCCTGGGCAACAGAGCAAGGCTCCGTCTCAAAGAAAAGAAAAGAAAAGAAAAAAAAAGCCTCCTCTACCACCCTGCTGTACCCCTACTCCCAGTTTCATAAGAATTGCTTACTTGAATTTCAGGTTAAAGGCATCTAAAATTATTTTTGCGATTTCTCAGCTCTTAGCACAATGCCTGGCACGTAGGACGCACCCGATAAACATTTAATAAATGAATGAGCAAATCTCGGTACTAAAAATTATCAGGCCCGAGATATCTGTATTACTACAGCAGTGTATGAGCTCTGCAAATCTGAAATAGAATGTCACTTTTGTTTGATTTGAGGTGACATTTTATATTTTTAAATATATAAATTGGAACTAAGATGGCAGGTCTTAGTATTAGCAGAAGGAAAAACAGAGACTATCGTGATTTATAAAATAATGATTCTTAGGGTCATTAGTTATCCATAAATAAAGTATTTCTGGAAAGTACAGCTCATTTTTCGATTTTTCACTTTTTTGCTAGTTCTTTTCATTCTGAAGTTAAGATGCCTCCTTTACATATTATGTGTTGCCATGTCACTGAATTTTTAATCTTTGGTATTATCATGCTCTTCATATGACTCTTGAGTATGTGGACTAAAATGCAGTATATCTTAGAAACTCGTCAGTTCTTAACAAAGACCTGATGGCATAGTCAGCTAACTATTTATCTATATCTCATCTCTGGGCTCCACGAATTTTACTTCTAAGCAAACAAGCCATTTGGTTCAAATAATGTTACAAAACTACAACTGCTAATTTGGTACCGTTGTCATCTTCCTAGAATAGCCCCAAGTTTGACTTGAAAAAGTAGTGTCTGAATCCCAGACAATGAGTTTCCTTTTATGCTGTGCGGGAGCATTACATGGTGGTAAAAGAAGAAAAAAACAGTATTCCCAAGCTCCTTTCCAGTTCTGTGGATGAATTGCTTTACAATTACAGGGCAAGTTATTTTAATTGATTCTGCTAATTGTTAACCTAGTTTGAAGTATTTGAATACCACGTGGGCTTTGATGACCTTATGGTTGTTTAATAAATCCCAAGTTATTGAGCTTAAAATACAATATGAATTCTTTATAGTTATGAAGACATTTTAGTTAATATTTAACATACATAGTAAATTGTTATGATTAAGCTTGGTGATAGTGTTGAGAGGAATGTAACTGTCTCTGAGCAGTGCTTATGTAAGTGTCCCTGGGAAGATTTAAAATGAGTTGTGTTCTGTTGTTTTTTCTCCAACTAGTAGAGAAAAATTTCCTTGGTCAGACTTTTTTTTTTTTTAAATAAGATGACAGTTTTCTCAATTATCAGACTTTAGGATGTTAGAAATGAAAATTTGCCTTCCTAGCAGGAAACTAGAGTTTAAATATCTAAAAGTACCAGAAAAAAGGTAAATGTTTATTTTAAAAATTTTAAAACATATTTGTTACTATTAGGTAATTAGAAAGCACTCGTCATAATAGAGTCTGTCATCCACTAAAGAAAAGGTTAGTGAAATACCTGAGGAGGCCCACTTGAATACCCCCAGAACAGCTGTCTGTGCAGATGCTAAATTCCATGATTGATTCTCATTTTGGATTGCTGCTCTCTTCTTTTAGCAGCAATGGGCAAGTAAGGGTTGGTTTGAATAAAAAAACTAACATTGTCATTTCTGGTCCCCGGTAGTTTATGCTCCTAGATCTTCATTTTTAGCCTGCTTTAGGTTTTTAAAATAATGCAAGATTCATTTTTTACCTTTGGATCACTGACCCACAAAATCAATCAAGCACTAGACCCAAGTTAAAAACTATTTAATTGGTTGTGTCGAGAGAGAGACAGAGCATGAGAGAGAGAGAGAGAGCATGCACTTTAGGAGGTTCAGATTACTTATTTAAAAATAAATAACAAGTAACCAAAAGCTTTATTAAGATATTCTACTCTTATTTTTTTCTGTTTATTTTGGTCCTGTCTTTGGCCAGTTAAGAGGAAGTCAGCCACTAAGAGAAGATAGGATCAGAGGGAATCTTCATAGCCTCATTATGGCCAGGGACATCAGTTAAGGTTAATTTCAGTTGTATGTAAGATAGATGAAAAAACAATAGCAGCTTATACAACATTGAGAGTTTATTTTGTTTTGTTTTCATATAGAGGTAGTCTGAAGATATGTAGTCCAGGACTGATAGAGCAGTTCCACAGAATGAAGAATCTAGACTCTTTCTTTCTGCTCTGTCGTCTTCTGCAAGTAGTTTTCACTCTCAAAACTTCATGGTCCTAGATGGTTGCTGGAGCTCTAGCTGTCATGTCTACGTCCCATACAACAAGAAAGGCAAAAGGCTATGTCTTACCACTTGTCCTGCACAGCAGTTCACTTACATCTCATTTGGTCAGCACTTCAACAGTCCTATATGGGAGTACAGGAAGGCAGAAGCTGAAGTCTTTTAACTGGGCATAATGCCCAGAGCTTCCTACTGCAGGAGAAGGGGGCATTGGATATTGGGATCCACTTAGCAGCCTTTGCCATCTAGATTGTTGCTGTGATGCCTTTCTTCACTTTTTTTTTCCTACTAACAAACTTATTAAAATAGCCATGCATTGGGCCCTAACTCCTTGACATCTCCCGAGTAGCTGGGATTACAGGCATGAGCCACCATGCCTGGCTAATTTTGTATTTTCACCGTGTTGACCAGGCTGGTCTCAAACTCCTGACCTCAAGTGACCCTCCCGCCTTGGCCTCCCAAAGTGCTGGGATTACAGACATGAGTCATTATGCC